GAGAGAGAGAGAGAGAGAGAGAGAGAGAGAGAGAGAGAATCCCCGCCCAGGGCAGTTCTCACGTACCTGCATCACTTTGAAGATCCTGTCGGTAAGTTCGGTGGACATAACCACGTCTGTGTGTTGATTTATGTGCCGGGTCAGGTAGCTGGAGGCAAGACTGGCCAACTGTGAGATGACAGGGGCAGGGTGTACAGGCAAGGAGATTTGAGTTTTGATTCCGCACAACATTATATGAGAGGAGGAGATTTGAGCTTTGATACCACACACTATGAGGATGGAAGAAAATATAGGGATGTCATGCAACAGGAGGAAGGAAATAGAAAGTATTGGGAAACCACAGTGACAGCATAAATTTTCAAGTTAGCTATAGAAACCGGTCAACCTGTGTGGACGAAGGGGCGGGGAGATGGATAAATGAAGAGAGATATAGATATATAAGAAGGGTGCAATGGGAACACCGGCGATGTCCATTTTTTTTAGCTTGTTGCGGTATTTTTTAGCCATGACCAAGCCCCAGGTTTTCACCACGTGGAAGAATCCAAAAAACCACCATAGGACGCCTCAATGCTCGCGAGAAAAAAAGTGTACGCAAGGGGAGATCCAGCGATGTCCGACGAGTACAAAGGGAAAACGAGAGATATCAGCGCGGAGTAGAGACTTATTTTTTATTTACCCTTATCTGCCCCGACAGGCAAACAGCAGCCATTTTGAGGTCGTGTGCTTTGTTTACGCGCATTTCAAAATGGTATAGCAACAGATACCAGAGGTGACAGCAAACTCAAACGTGTGCTCGGTATGCCCGGGAAAGAACTAAAATGTTCTGAAGTGACTACTGGTGACGGAAAAAAACCCCACGGTTTATAATTTATTAATAACCCATTTCAATAGTCTCAGTACCAAAGGCCAAAAATACACCACACCAGAGACACTAAAATATAAATACTCTCTGACCACACTTGCGTTTCTCATATCAGTGGGCAACATAAAAAAACAGACGTGCTCGCCAGACTGAATATGAAACAAAACTCCACCATGATGGTCACTTCTACCCCACCAGAGAGGAAAGACGTAGAGCTGTTATTACAGTCCCCATCTGCTTCCCTGCACTTCTGCCAGTATTTTGGCATGACCAAGGCCGTCGGTATCTCGATTGTTTAAAAAAAATTGGAAAGCTTCATGCATAACTTTGTAAAAACCAAAAACAAACATGGAATAATCAATTAACAGTAGATAAAGATCTTTCAGCATTTCAACGCCTCTCTCTATTAATATTGTGATGATGAATATGGCATTCGTTGTTCTACTGTCAGCTGTTAACCCACATTGCATTTCTAAAACCACGGGTCTTATCATGTTTCTCATTCTAGGTCTACTTTTATTGTGTGATTTCTTCTGTTCTTCTTTGTGTTCCCATGTTAGGTGTCAGGGGTAGTCGACTGCTGGTTTTTCCATCTGCAGTGTAACTGATTGATTTTTACGTGTGAGACTGTTTTTCCAACGTAGTAGGGCCCCTAGTCTTCAGGCAGCCACATTCCGATTTCGAAAGTATTCTATATGATTTTATACTGACTAGAGTATTTTCAGTTTTGGCAGGAATAAATTTTAAATGTTGCCAGGGTGGCGGCCGAAGCCTACTCTAAGAACGTAAGAAAGAACAGACCACTCCATTGGGGCCATCAATCACCCAGAGGCTGACCCTCGACCCTCCCCGACCCTTAACAAGGAGATGCCGATTCAAAGAAAAACAAAAACCCCATTCCCCCTCTTCCAAAAATCAAAACATATCTCACCACATGAACCCCCCCCCCCAAAAAAAAAAACCCCCACACAAAAACAACACAAACAAAAAAACAACAACAAAAAACAAAAACAAACAAACAAACAAAAAACAACAACAACCAAACAAAAAACCCACCCCCAAACAAACAAAATAACAACACACACACTCACACAAACAACAACAAAACCATCAAGCATTAGTTTAAGAAGACTGAATCAACGATCTGCGCCGTGTAGCCAGGGCAGTGACAGGTCGCTCAAGCTCTGCGCTGCCCATCAACAACACTGTCTGTTCATGCGTGAGAAGAACACTTCCCCCCTAAACTGTAACGAGGCCGGCCGGACTTCACAATTATAATTATGTTTGTGTCAGAGAGAAGCACATCGTTACGATAATGGCCATTAAGAATTGGGGAACATCAGGGTCAATATTAGAGTATTAAATGGCGCCATCGGCACGGCTCAACCATAAATGCGCTGTGACAGAAGCTGATAGCGCGGGATAAGTAATGTTTAGCAGTAATTTAATGGATACCCCCCCCAAAAAAAAACAAAAAACTCCCCCCCCAACCCCCCCCCCCCCACAAAAAACAACAACCCCAAAACATTTCAATTTCTACAGAATATGTAATTATAAACGTTTTTTTAAATTGAGGTACAAATAAAAGAATGTGTGCACACCTAATATATATTCTCCACCTAAACGGCGTTCTCTAAATCTAACCCTTTGGTTAGATAAAAGACCTTTCTCGGGTCAACAACGTCAAATAAAGACCTATGTTGTAACATTAAAAATATTAACTGATACACGCTTCATAATTCGAATCAAATCATCGTAGTAAAAGATACCGAGTGGTAAATCAGAGATCTATATTTCGTAAAATGCCCTTTATCCGTTTGAAGAAGGGATTTTCGTTATCTGAGCGAAAACTTCGGTTGTACGAGTCTAGGCTTAGCAGATTGTTGCGGTCGTTTGTTAGGAACAGGAAAAACAATAAACATAATATACAGGAAGGTTCATAGTAGGCATATAGTACATATCACATCACTGTTATTACACCTAGTTCATTACAACATGTGGGGGGGGGGGGCATAGTTTTACTATGTGGGGAGTAAAGAATACACCTGCCGTGATACTGCGAGTCGTAAGAGGCGACTAAAGGTGCATAGGTCTGGCCACCCGAAAAGTGACAGTTTGCGGAGGGCCAACTACCCGACCCAGTAAACAAGGAAAGTTATATAAACACGAACAAACAAGACTTATAATTTTTCCATCTTGGGAGACGGAGGAGCTTCTGCATCTGCAGGAACAACGAAGGACAGCGGACAAAGCCGAAAGGAGTCTTCTGAGCCGAAATCTTCTCTGTCCAACAAGTCTCTCCGGATTGCGTCGTGGAATGTTCGCACCATGTATGAAGCAGGAAAGAGCTCTCAAGTGACACAAGAGATGAAAAGATACAGGCTGCACATACTAGGAGTCCGCGAAACCCACTGGATACAGTCTGGACAGAAGCAGCTCAGCTCGGGGGAACAAATATTGTATTCTGGGAGGGAAGACAAGCACCATGCGGAGGGAGTTGGAATTATTTTGAGTACGTATGCGCAGAAGTCACTTAGAGGATGGGAACCAAAGGGGGAGAGGATCATTATGGCTTCTTTCACTACCAGAAGTAACCATGAACATAGTACAGATCTACACCCCAACAAACGATGCTTCGGATGATGACAAGGATGCTTTTTACAGCCAGCCCCAGGGGGTCATCGACAAACTACCAAGAAAAGATGTCAACATCATAATGGGAGATGCTAATGCCAAGATTGGTCAGGACAACGTAGGGTACGAAGGAATCATGAGACAACATGACTTGAGACAAATGAATGAGAACTGTGAGCGATTTGCAAACCTATGTGCTTTCAAGTCTTGTCACCGGAGGCTCTGTTTTTCCCCATAAGAGGATCCACAAGGCTACTTGGGTATCACCGAATGGAGTGACGGAGAACCAGATCGATCATTTTTTTTATCTCTCGTAGGTTTAGGCGTTCACTGGAAGATGTCAAAGTACAGAGAGGGGCAAAATTTGGATCGGATCATCATCTACTGTTAGCAAAACTCAAGCTTCGTCTAAAAAGCATGGAACCAGAACAGGAACCAAAAGAATGAAGTTCCAGGTAAGTCTTTTAGATGGACACAAGAAACAGGAGTTTCAACTGCAGTTGAGGAACAGATCCCAACCCTTGTCGGATCTTGGTGAGGAAGACATGGAGGTGGAGATGCACTGGACCAAGGTCAAAGAAGTCTTTACTTCAACATGTCAAGAAATACTCGGTGAGAAGAAATTGGAGCACAAGGAATGGATTAGCCAACGGTCAATGGATTTGATTAGCATTAGAAGACAATTGAAAGCAGAGACAAATGCAAGTAGAACAAGGGGATCAAAAGCGGACGCATTGGAGCAGTACAGGACTACAGCTAAAGATATAAAGAGATCACTGAGAAAAGACAAGGAGGAATTCATGAACAGGCTTGCAGAGAGGGCAGAGGAGGAAGCAGCAGGAGGGAACATGCCAATCCTTTACCAGACTACAAAGACTCTTTCTGGAAAATATGGGAAACCAGAAGTAACAGTAAAGGACCAAGAGGGAAAAACCATTTTTGGAAAGGAAGCTCGGTCAAGACGATGGGTAGAGCATTTAAACTGTCTCCTGAACAGACCACCACCAAGTAACCTGCCAGCTAGAAATGAGCTACCAATCTGCTGTGATGCCCCATCGAAACAAGAGATTATGGATGCCATTAAGAAGCTGAACAACGGTAAAGCGGCCGGTCCTGATCAGTTTCCACATGAGGCCCTAAAACAGATGCCAATGTGACGGCAGACCTCCTTCTTCCATTGTTTACCACGATCTGGAATGAGAGCAAGTTCCCAAAGGATTGGAAAGAAGGACACCTTGTGAAACTACCTAAAAAGGGGGATCTAGGCAACTGCAGCAACAACTGAGGAATCACTCTTCTCTCAATACCAGGAAAGGTCTTCAACAGAATAACTCTGGAGAGAATCAAGTCTGCAACGGATCAAAGACTTCGGGATGAACAGGCTGGTTTTCGGAAAAATCGGCCAACCACGGACCAGATTGCTACACTGAGGATCATAGTGGAACAGTCCCTGGAGTGGAACTCCCAGTTGATCGTCAACTTTTTTGACTATGAGAAGGCCTTTGACAGCATAGACCGAGCAACACTAGGGAAGATCCCACAGAAGATGGTTAACCTCACCGGGAGCATGTACGAAGGGACACGTTGCAGAGTTATACATGATGGCCAGCTCACTGACAGCTTTGACATCAAGACCGGCGTGAGCCAGGGATGTTTACTATCACCTTTCCTCTTTATCTTGGTAATCGACTGGCTGATGAAGGAAACCACCAGAGGACACAGAAACGGTATACAGGGGACCCCATGGACACAGTTGGACGATCTGGACTTTGCAGACGACTTGGCGCTTCTGTCACACACTCAGGAACAGATGCAAGCAAAGACAACGATTTTAAACAGCCTATCAGAGTCTGTCGGATAGAGGATCCACCCCGGAAAGTCGAAAGCCCTAAGGATAGATGCACTACGAAAGGAGCAGGTCACAGTACAAGGAAATGAACTAGAAGACGTCGAATCCTTCTGCTATCTTGGGAGTATAATTGACAGAGAGGGAGGAACAGGCGCTGAAGTAAAGTCCCGCATTGGAAAGGCACAGACTGCATTTATTTCTTTGAATAGGATTTGGAGGACCAGGGATATCTCATTACGAATAAAGCTTAGAATTTTCAACTCAAATGTGAAGTCAGTCTTGTGGTATGGGTGTGAGACGTGGAACGCATCCGATACGTGCATAAAGAGGATCCAGGTTTTCTTAAATAAGTGTCTGAGGAAGCTACTGAGGATTAAATGGACAGACAGGATCACCAACGAGGAAGTATTAAGGAGAACGAGACAGAGCCCAGTCAGAGATGAGGAGGGAAGAAGACGTTGGCGATGGATTGGACACACTCTCAGGAAGTCAAGCAGCTGCATAACAAGAAAAGTGTTAGATTGGAACCCATAGAGTAAAAGATCAAGGGGAAGACCACGTGGAACCTGGAGAAGAGTCACGGAAATGGATGTACAGGAAAGGGGGAAGACGAGGAATGACATCAAGCGACTAGCCCAGGATAGGGAAAGGTGGAGAGTGTTTTTCAAGGCCTTTATCCTGATCCAGGGTGACAAAGGCAATGACGATGATGATTACAACTATTAGCAGATTAAATTAGTTGGCATTTTTGTACATTTTCAATGTCATTAACCATATTTTGTCGTAACTACTTTAATGTGCTTACAACTTTCATGAATTAAGTATTATAGCAGTGATATTATACTTGCTAAATACCTACTATGGCACCCCCCCGTATAAAACACACCGGTTTAGACAGAAGCATTTGAGGGACAGTAAAGATGTTGGATCAACTGGCCAGTGACTCCCCTCACACCTTTCCCTGGGTTTACACGGAAGCACTGTTGTACTGATGGTAAGTAAGTATACAAGTAGGTACGTGTGAGGGTTTAAATGGGTTTAACACCTCGTGCAACACTGTTAAAGTATTTAAGAGGCACGACCTACGAACTTCCCGCCCATCTTTGATAGGACCGAGCCAAATGGGTTGACAACCCTGAAAACTCGACAAATCGACCTGTCAGAGATTCGAACCTCAGATTTCCATTCCGAAGTCCAGTATGATAACAACTGAGCCCATGGACTTTCAGTCTGTAAATTAATTCCTTTTTAATTCATTTAGCGAAGAAAAACAAAAGCAAATCAAAATAACGAAGATTTCCTACTATCGTAACCCCCCCCCCCCCTTCAACAACAACAAAACAAAAAAACCAAAAAACAAGACAATGAACAAGAATGTCACGAGAGTCATCATTTATGCATGTTCCTTTTCTTGTAACATAAAATAAAATAAATATTTTATTGTCCAGATGCTAATAACATGTAAAATGACTCGTTTTCTGTTAACATCCCCTGTCAGTGACCATCTTCAAACGTGAGGTCTCAAACAGACTGCTGAGAACTTTGCGTGTATCAAAATATGGGATCTTAATAATAGCACAACCTTCAGAAACATCTTACCCTGAGCGAGTTTTGGAAGCTTAATCCAGTCACTTTTACCCAATGGGGATACGTTGGCATTCGTCAATTTTTGACCTTCAATGACCTTCCACCCCCCCCCCTCCAACAAAACAAACAACCTCCTCCTCGTTAAGAAAAAAAAAACACACACAAAAACCCCCAACAACAACAAACAAACCCTTCAGTGGTCCAACTCTATTGAAAAAGAATTCAGCGTGCATGACACTGACCATAATTGCACTACAAAACCGGTCTTGGCAACGATAAGACTACGAGTCTTGCCTCGAGCAAATATCTTTATATCAAACACATTAGTAAAAAGAATTCCGTTGCCGTACAATCACTATAATACCAGTCAGGTGCTACGAGGAAGAAAGGAAACAAACGGGAAAAAAAGAACAATAAATGTTAAAAGAGGAAATAAAAGCACTTAATTAAAGAACTGTTTTTTTCACTTGGATTGTTTGTTTGTTTTTGTCTTTTTTTTTGGGGGGGGGGTTAATAAAGTAGTCTTAGTGATTAGAAAAAGCTAGACAGGCATCTAGACAATCTATAACAAAACTCTTTAAAAAATAGCAGAGTGATACGACAGAATAGAAATAGAAGCCACCAGTGTCACCCTCAAACTATCTGCATTCTGTCAATATTGAGATTGAAACAAATGTATGACAGAAGACAAACCATTGACAGGGGTTTAGTGAGAGACAGAATCTGAGACATAAAACTGACAGTAGTGAGGGGGGGGGGATAGAAAGAGTGGGAAGGAAGGGAGAGAGAGAGAGAGAGAGAGAGAGAGAGAGAGAGAGAGAGAGAGAGAGAGACAGAGACAGAGAGAGAGAGAGAGAGAGACAGAGAGAGAGACAGAGAGAGAGAGAGAGACAGAGAGAGAGACAGAGAGAGAGACAGAGAGAGAGAGAGACAGAGAGAGAGACAGAGAGAGAGAGAGAGACAGAGAGAGAGACAGAGAGAGAGAGAGAGAGAGAGAGAGAGAGAGAGAGAGAGAGAGAGAGAGAGAGAGAGGGGGGGGGGAAGAAACCGAGAGACATATAGAGACAGAGACAAAGAGAGAAAGGCAGAAACAGAGAAACATACAGAGATAAAGAGATAGAGAGAGAGAGGCAGAAACAGAGAGACATACAGAGACAGAGAGAAAGAACAGGGACAAGGTGAATAACAAAAGAAAAACGGCTGGAGTCCACACAAAACAAGGTTATCTCGATGACAGCAAAACGAGCCGTGGGGGAAATTACCTGCTCTGGGTCTTTGATTTGCTGCAGGAGCTCATTCTCAGAGTTGGGCAACTCAATCAGGCACCACTCTCTGAGGGCGTCACGACTCGCCGACTCTTTGGAGGCAGCTTCCTGTGGAGGGGAATAGAATACTAAAGATAAGCACATAGATACAATAACGGTCATTAAGTTTTTTTCTTTTTAATGACGTGTTTTTATATCCCCGTGAAAGTAAGCACATCGGCACAATATTGGCTTTTCATTTTTTTAAGCAGCTGTTTTTATATTCCCATTGACACAATTTAGATGATTTAGGAGACAGGCTTCGACCCTACCCGCCAGGGCCAACCCAGGTTGAGAGGTATACAACGTTCCACAAGAAAACCGAGGCACTTCATACGAATTCCCCACATACGAGAGCCGATCTCAGGTCTTCTGCATATTTTGGCAGAGTGCCTAACCTCTACACATTAGACGCCAGTAGACATTTGGAGACGGTAAAAAATAAGACAAAAAAGCAAAAACAACAGAGTGAAAGACCAGAAGATGGAACGACCAATAGCGCCCTTAAACCACCCACTAGTTGGGGGAATTTTTTTTTTGGGGGGGGGGGGGGGGGGCAGGAGTGAGAAATAAAACCTTGGGGAGAGAAAAGGAGAAGTTCTAAACAGGTCCAGAAAAAAAGTAGTCTGTCATGGAACTCTGTAACGAGATATCCAGGAAATATCTCAGTTATAGGAAAGGTGAACAACCACAAATGTCATGCGTTAAACAAGGGGCAGAGTTTCTATCCATGCTTTGTCGAGGTGTAGTGGACAACCGCATGAAAGTAGAGGAGAACCTAAACTCTTGGGCAGATGGTGTGTGTGAAATGGCATAGATTTAAAACGCCTATCTACAATAATAGCTTATTTAAGAGACGGGACCTCCGAGTTAAATGTACGTCTACGCAAGGACCGTCCAAATGTTTAAAAAAAATCGTGAAACGTGCCTTTCCAAAACACGCAACGTCGGACCAAGATGAGGCTTGAAACACTGATTTCGCAATCTTACGATTGCGGGTCCCGTAGCCTAACCACTACTCTTGGGGCTAGACAACCGTCCTTCGATACTTGTGGTTCCTCCATCCGGTTTAGGAAGGGAGGCCACGGTGCAGGAAATCAGAAATTTAACCAAGAATTCAGTCAGCAACTTTGGTGGCATGTGAAGAAACTGCCTTGCCTGCTGATTACCCCCCCCCCCCCCCTCAACCGCCCCAAAAACGGATACAGGTATATAACATGTGATAACAAGTACTTTTGAGTTACGAATATGAGCGCACAACATTGTGGGGAAAAATAGCCGAATGATTACAGAGAGTGGTGCTTACAAAAATTACAACATACCAATCACACGTGGTCGGTCAGTCGTTCGAAAATAAAAACGCAGCAACAACAGACAACAGCACCCCCCTCCCCCCCCCCCCAACCACACACACAGTACTTTCGTTCTACTCTGGACCAAGAGATTGTTCGTGACTCGAAGCAGACGATGCAACTGGGTCAGGAAGTCCTTTCCTATGAGGATTAAAAAAACGTTGACGGATATCAAATGGGCACTTTTCTGTATTGCTGAAAGAAAGAGTGATTTGATGCCCGTAAGCATAATGAAAGTTCATTTACGCCTATGGAATGGTTTACAGTTTGTCTGCACTTGCCTCGGAAAAGCTGGCCTTATTGCTTCGTTTTATTTGTTAATAACTATGACATGCACTGAAAACGACCTTTTGCTGATTTCAAATGTGTGCGCTCGCAATATGTGTGACTGACCGTACATTTTTCAGTTTAAAAAAATTTATAATATACATAATATCCCAATCACACTTGTAAAATAGTGATACATCCCTTTCACCTTTCTTGATTCCAAACGTATTGCCTTGTCTCTATTTTGGAGCATATTATTATTATCAAGGAAGTAAAGAACTAACAGGAGGGACGTAGTGTTTGGGCAATATACTCGTACTTCCTTTATGTCTAGCGCCCTTGCATAGCAGTATCATGCATACTGCTTAACCTAAGATGGCCTTTTCGAAAGAGTTTGTGAGAACACGAGCATGCGAGCTTGTGTCTACGTGAATGCACACGTGTGAGTGCTTCAGAGTACGCGCATTCTGATGCGTCATTGTGTGTGAGTTTTTGTGCATTGAAATAAATGCGCGCACGCATTAGGCTGTTAACTATTACGTAAACTCATACATGTACACATAGCGCGTGGTCTTACTACACATGATACGGGTCTACTACAGCTTGGGGAAAGAGATAACAGTAGCAAGACCGATCAACAGAAAAAACAAAGGGAGAGTTTAGAAGTATTTCACGAACGAACAGATACGCTCTCTCTCTCTCTCTCTCTCTCTCTCTCTCTCTCACACACACACACACACACACACACACACACACACACACACACAAGAGAGAGAGAGAAAGAGAGAGAAGAGAGAGAAGAGAAGAGAAGAGAGAGAGAGAGAGAGAGAGAGAGAGAGAGAGAGAGAGAGAGAGAGAGA